CATTGTCGGGTCCGCCGAGCAACGTTGTTGTCGTTCTTTTTGATACGCCTTCGCTTGCTTGATCTTTTGGGTTCCTTGGCTTTGGATGCTTGGATGATTCCGCTGACTTGGTGTAGGCTCTCTACTGGTTCCCATGTAGCCTTCTCCATTACCCACTCACCGGATGAGATGCTGTACGCTGCCTCGCCACTTCCGCTTGATGATAATCACTTCCATACGGCGCCGTCACGAAAGAAGGGTATCCTGAGGCCTCGAAAACCGTGTCGGCTGCTCGAATGGTTTGAGCGACCCCGTGCTGAAAACCGGGTGAAGCTTGATTCCCGAGGGTAAGTTGAGTTCCTATGCGTACTTATGGGCCCTGCGCACGACAGCGAACGGTCCGATTCACTTCGGACGCAGCTTGCGCGAGTTAGGGAATTCTGTGTGAGCCGTACCCAGATGCTTGGTGCCAAGATAGACACGACTTCCGACGTCAAATTCCTGCTCGGCTAGACCACGATCATAAATGTCGGTCATGCGGGACTGATCATCTTCTAAAGCGTCTTAACGCTGGCGAAACACTGCAGCTTGGTACCTTGTCGACGTCCACCGCGTATTCCGCGTCGGCGCGACTCTGCAACTCTAGGGAGAGGATTGTGAGGGATGTATCCTGTATCAGCTCAAACGGAGACATCTTGATACTCGAATTTACAGCTGAGTTGATAGCGAACTCTGCGTTCGCAAGATACACGTTCCAATCGCCTTGTCTTGGAGACACGAAACAGCGCAAATATTCTTCAAGCGTTCGATTTGTTCGCTCAGTCTGCCCGTCGATTTGGGCTCGATACGTTACTGTCATCTTGAGCTTGGTGCCAACCTTGGTGAAGATTTAGCTCCAGAAACCTGAACAAACTTGGCGTCACGGTCGGACATGATGTCTTGCGGCATACCATGGAGTTTCCAAACGTTGTTAATGAACAAGGACACTACCTCTTGAGCCGAAATATTATTGGCCGTTGCGACAAAGTGAGAGCGCTTTGTCAACCGATCAAAAACAACCCAGATCGAGTTGTGTCCACGTTGCGTGGCTGGTGGACCCGTGATAAAATCCATCGAAAAAACAAAATGGAACGCCATCGTTCATCTGGAATCTGGAGTGACTCCAATCGTCCTGGGTCTTCATCAAGTGTGATTTATTTCTTCGGCAGTCCGCGGTGTACGCCTTGATCGTACGCATTATCCTTGACCAGTACCAGTCAGCTAGCGGCTTAAGATGCATTTGGGCAGTCCCCGTGTGACTACCGTAGTTTGAATCGTATACCCCACCGAGGATTCATTGTCTCAGCACGACGCTGTCCGGTACAACAATCCTAGGTTTCTCATCCGTGGAGCCACGAGGTACTTCTCTTCGAAATAGGGGTTGTATTGCTTTACTGAGCCCCCTCGAGCGACAGAATTGAAGATGTGTTCTGGATCTGGATCGCGAGCCGGATATCGCTGATAATCTTGTTTTTCTTGTAGCACGAGATAATGTCCTTGACCAGTTCGTTTGATGCCTTTACTTCGGTTACGGACGGTTGATATCTGTTATTTACTAAAACTGGGAACGAGTAGGTCGTGAAAGCTGCACTTCCAAGTGCCGATGCTGACTGTGCTAGCGCCGATGATTTATCGCAATGTGATATGCTGGATAGATGGTATTCTCGTTTTTGCTGTGGATATGGAGTATTTTCTAGTGGTGTTGCAGGAGGTTTTCGATATTGTTGGACCACACGGACTGCGGCTCCACCCTTCAAAGCGCTCGCTGTTTAAGTCTAAAAACGAGTGGTGTGGTCGACTCATATTGGGTGAAGGAGTGCGTCATGGCCTTGAGCGAGTGGAGGCATTGACATCGCTCCCTCGCCTCGCTACTGTCGCTGAGCTGCATTGTTTTGTGCGTGTAGCTAACTGGTTTCATGACTCTATACCAAACTTTGCATGCACCGTTGCTCCGCTTCAGAATAAGCTACAGTCTGAGCGCAGTATAATTGGCCGATGCGGCAGAAATGCCTTGAATGCTGCCTTACAATGGACGTCTGTCGACCAGGATAATTGCAAAGCTGTGATTGCCTTAATTCATGATTCAGCGCTAATAACATTTCTTAATGACGCCTGTGAGGTGTCTGTCTTTGTCGACGTTATTGTTCTCACTCAAGTTTCGTTGTGGCTTGTGTGGAGGACCAGGATCACCGGCTAATTATCTGCAAAGGTTGCATCTCGAAAGACTCGTAACCTCGGTAGCCTATCGTCGATAAGGAGGCCTACCCGATAGGGAAGGCGTATCATTACCTGAACTACGTACATTTACGAGCCAAAGGATTTCGCTTGTTCTGTGATCATTTCTATCTAATTTACGTATTTGCGCCAGCGGTGGAGTTGATGATGCATGTCCGTGATCGACTCCAGCGCTGGGCAATGTGCTTGTGTGGAATGCGAAGCACTATTGAACGCATTGGGGGGGGGGGGGGGGGGGGGGGGGGGGTCCACCAACCATTGGGCGAACATTGCCTCGCGATGACGCCAATCTCCTGTTATCACGGCTGCTGCGGTTTGAACCCGTCGTGATAGCCCCCCCCCCCCCCCCTGTGTCCACCACCCCCAACTTCGCCCTCTTCAGGACTCAGACTTCATAGTCCCCACACTTGGTGATATTCGTGAAGATCAAGAGACGGTAGGGCGTCGTGCTCGTGACGGAATATACGAGCCCTCCGTAGATAAAGTGGGTGTGCTGATGGAAAACGGTAAGCCTTGGATTCCAATGACAACAAAGTACCTGCTAGCAAGAGTGTTTGTTGCTGCCCATTGTGGCTCACAGTGGCACCGACGTCAAGATGAAGAATGTGCTCTAGGAGCGATTTTACATCCTGATATCGGCGACAAAAGTGGCGGCATTTGTCGGCAACCGCCTGCTATAAAAGCACGTAAAAGGACCAAGGTAGGTTATGCGTCCTTACGGACCGACTTACACCTCGACCAAGCGCAAGGATCTGCACAACGGTTTTCTCTACATTGGAGCTGACTATGGCAAAAATTCCAACGTGTTGGTGCTGAAAGATGCACAAACGAACTATCGCAAACTGTTATCTTCCAATCACCAACGGCGTTTGTCGCTGAAGAATCCCTGGTAGAATGGTATAAGTAATTTGACTGCCCTGAGATCCTGATGGCACTTTCGTAATCACAAGGTAGAGTTTTTGTGTTCGCGGCTCAAAATTGAGCAATGGTTATCGAAAGTATACTAGACTTGAAACAACGGGACTGTGGAGTGCCTAAACAAGGATGTACTGCAAGTGATGAGGTTGTAGCTCATTGAGCATGGACTGTACTTTCAC